GCGCCCGCATCCCAGGGGACAAACCTTTTAAACCAAAATTTGGGGTTTTCCGGGTTTCCAGTTTAATCAAGAAACCTTAAAACGTTTATGGAATTTGACAAATTCTAACTGTAGTTTGGAACCACCCTTCAACATTCAAAAAAAAAAAAAAAAAAAAAAAAAAAAAAAAAAAAAAAAAAAAAAAAAAAAAAAAAAAAAAAAAAAAATTTTTTTTTTTTTTTTTTTTTTTTTTTTTTTTTTTTTTTTTTTTTTTTTTTTTTTTAAAAACCCCAAACCAAAATTTAATTTTTTGAAAAAAATTTAAAAATAAACCAAACTTGAAAAACCCTTTTTTTTTGCCCCTTTTTTTTTTAGCTTAAAAATTTCCCGGGGAAAGGGAAACGTATTTTGCCAAAAAAGGGAATAACCTGTAGGAAAAGAAGCTTCTGTCAACGGTTTTAGATTTAAATATTGCTCGAGCATCTAGAGTGTGCGGCTTTCCTTTCCTTTTTCAAGTGTTCTACGCCGTCAGCCAGCACCTCGCCTAAACAGGTGTGCGTTTCTTTCACCTTTAACACAAAGTTCTGTGGCCCGTATTCACAAAGCGTCTCGCAGTTAGAGGTGCAGTTTTTATATCATAATAAATACGATTATATGGACTTATCCTAGATCAACCATTCCTACTCTGTGACGCTGGTGTGGATACAGGCCCTGGTCAGAATAATCAAGAATAAAAGGTTTATAATACAGACTAAAGTCAACAGTTAACAGCTGTCACATAGTAACATAACATTGTCATTTCTTTTCTCTCTCAGTTAGCCATTTCCAGAGATGCATGGACATGTCGGGCTGTAAGCAGTTCCAAACCAACGCTTACATCAACGTGAAGTGTTGTGACACTGAGAAGTGCAACACGTTCTAGACTCCTCTGCTGTAACAAGACGGATTCAGATCAGTAAAGAAACGATCAGAGGGCGCAGCATCCCACTGGGCACACATCGGTTGAATCAATGTTGTCGTTTCCCACGTCATTTCAACGACATTACGTTGAACCAACGTGGAATAGACATTGAATTGACGTACGTGTCCAGTTGGATCCTACCCCCTCACATCAACATTCTAATTTATCAACAATTATTTGACTTAAAATAAATCAAACTTTGAAACCCTTTTTTTTTTTGCTTTGAGCTTAAATTCCGGGTAGGCTAAACGTATTTTGCAAAATGATTGAATCTGAGCAAAGTTGATCAATCGTCATTATTGGAATGATACAACATACAATCCTGAAATACATCATCACTTTTCACTTTAATGATTACAATCAAAAAAAAACATTTGCGCACCATTTTCAAACATTAGAAAATGGGATGTAGATTTTTTGGCTGATGACAATAACAGCTAGGAAAAAATAACATCCGACTGACAACGATGGGGGAGATAAAGTAGAACAAGAAAGAGCTGTGTATTAGAGAGACAGAGGAACATCTCTCATGAATCAGAAGAAATGCCTAAAGCGCAAATCCTAACTTCCACTTAAGTCCAATTTTCACTTAGTCATGCATTGATGTCAATGGGAGACTAAGTCCTAGATTCAATCAGATCAAGCGTTAACCGGCGATAAGACGACACCCGCATAGCTGATGTTTTGGAGGTGTCGGAGGTGGAACTGCGTTGGAGCCGTCAAATCGGTGATCAGCTGCTCTTTATCATTGTCACGAAGCCACACCCGTCCCACTCAAAGCCACACCCATCCCACTCAAAGCCACACCCCTCCCACTCAAAGCCACACCCCTCCCACTCAAAGCCACACCCCTCCCACTCAAAGCCACACCCCTCCCACTTCAAGTTAGATGTTCAGAAGGAGAAAGTGTAGACTATATAGAAATAATGACGCTCTAATTGAAAATCGTTCAACAAAATAATGAGGAATTCTATCATCCTAATGGAGGTATAGATTACATCTCATATTCCAGTGTTCCAACTTGTAAACAAGGCTGCATGGGATTTCTCTTAATGCGACTAGGTGCAGACAACGGCAATGTCCGCTTTACAGTGCCTCTACAGAGGATTTATATTACAAGCAGCACTCACCTACCCACGCTTGCCTGACCCTCATGTGGGTGCTAACAAGCTAGCAAGCAAGCTAGGTAGTGCTACGTTTCAACCAGTGGAGGCTGGTGGGAGGAGCTATAGGAGGACGGGCTCTTTGTAAAGGCTGGAATGGAATTAATGGAACAGAGTCAAATGTGTGGTTTCAATGTGTTTGACTCTGTTCCATTTATTCCATTCCAGCCTTTACAATGAGCCCGTCCTCCTATAGCTCCACCCACCAGCCTCCACTGGTACCAACAGCCATTGTCAGCCAATCCAGTAGGGGTTGGAAGCTATGGTGAGCTTCGATTGGTCACTCACGTCACGATATCGTGGAGGATCTGAATAAAGTTCTGCTTTCCCCAGCTTTAGTCCCGCCATGCTCAGCTCCCTCGCCCATGCTCACGTCGCTCAACGGTCCCCTGCCCAATCCGCTTCTCTCGCTTTCCTTCCCTTGAAAGTGAATGGCTTCCGACGTTTCACCGTGCAATGTCGCTTCCTAGTGTAAACGGGCCGTTAACTGAAGACGATGTGGGCGATGAAACTACGGAAAGCCATTCAAATATAGTGGGCAGCCGGTAGGTTAGTGGTTAAGAGCGTTGTGCCAGTAACCGAAAGGTCGCTGGTTCTAATCCCCGAGCCGAATAGGTGAAAAATCTGTCGATGTGCCTTTGAGCAAGGCACTTAACCCTAATTGCTCCTGTAAGTCGCTCTGGATAAGAGCATCTGCTAAATGACTAAAATGTCAAATGTAATATAGCCTCCTGTAGCTCAGTTGGTAGAGCATGGTGCTTGCAACATCAGGGTTGTGGGTTTGTTTCCCACGGGGGGCCAGTATGAAAAATTTATGCACTCACTAACTGTAAGTCGCTCTGGATAAGAGCGTCTGCTAAAATGACTAAAATGTACAAATGTAATTTCCAATGGAAGAGAAGCGACGAGGGACATGAACGGGGGGGCGGGACCAAAGTTGGGTGAAAGCTGAACTTTATGCTAATACTCTGCGACGTCGATGGACGCTCGACCAATCAAAGCTCACTATAGCTTTCCAGACCCTGCAGGATTGGCTGTTGATACCGAGCACTATCTAGCTTGCTAGCATCCACACGAGGATGAAGCTAGCGTGGTGAGGCGTCCTGGTTCAAACGTACTGCTAGTTATAACGCTAATAAGACGCTTGTGAATTTGACAGCTCTTCACGCGGTTTCACCTCCAACACCAAAACATCAGTCAAAGCTTCCAACCCCTACTGGATTGGCTGACAATGGCTGTTGGTACCAGTGGAGGCTGGTGGGAGGAGCTATAGGAGGACGGGCTCATTGTAAAGGCTGGAATGGAATTAATGGAACAGAGTCAAACATGTGGTTTCCATGTGTTTGACTCTGTTCCATTCCAGCCTTTACAATGAGCCCGTCCTCCTATAGCTCCTCCCACCAGCCTCCACTGGTACCAACAGCCATCCATCCATGAAACATCCAGTTTCACCTTCAACACCAAAACATCAGGTATGCGGATGTTGGCTTAAGTGGATCTGATTGAGTCGGGCTCTAAGTGAAAGTTTGACTTAAGGACATTGGGATTTTCCACCCAAGTTTTATTGAAGAATTTCCTGTAAGAATCAGTGGAGTGACAATGAGAATAACAATGGAAGAAAGCTGTGTGAGGAGAAAGCAATCACTGATGAAAAAAAATTAACAAAAACTAAAGATATATTTAAATACAAGGAAATGTTTTGTCTTCATGTCTCATATGAAGAGGTGAAATCAAATCACATTAAAATATCTCAGAACTTACGTCGTCACCTTCCACCATGAGGCCAGAACGGACACCTGTGCAGCAGCTTCCCTCCGGTAGGTTTTGGCACTAACCCCAGTTGTAACTAACCTGATTCAGCTCATCAACCAGCTAATTATTAGAATCAGGAGCGCTAGATTAGGGTTGGAGTGAAAACTTACAGGAGGGTATCTCTCCAGGAACAGGGTTGGAGTTAAAACCTACAGGAGGGTAACTCTCCAGGAACAGGGTTGGAGTGAAAACCTACAGGATGGTGTCTCTCCAGGAACAGGGTTGGAGTGAAAACCTACAGGATGGTGTCTCTCCAGGAACAGGGTTGGAGTGAAAACCTACAGGATGGTAGCTCTCCACGAACAGGGTTGGAGTTAAAACCTACAGGAGGGTATCTCTCCAGGAACAGGGCTGGAGTTAAAACCTACAGGAGGGTATCTCTCCAGGAACAGGGCTGGAGTTAAAACCTACAGGAGGGTATCTCCAGGAACAGAGTTGGGAGTTAAAATCTACAGGAGGGTAGTTCTCCAGGAACAGGGCTGGAGTTAAAACCTACAGGAGGGTAGCTCTCCAGGAACAGGGCTGGAGTTAAAACCTACAGGAGGGTATCTCTCCAGGAACAGGGCTGGAGTTAAAACCTACAGGAGGGTATCTCTCCAGGAACAGGGTTGGAGTTAAAACCTACAGGAAGGTAGCTCTCCAGGAACAGGGCTGGAGTTAAAACTTACAGGAGGGTATCTCTCCAGGAACAGGGCTGGAGTTAAAACCTACAGGAGGGTTTCTCTGGTCTAGATGGTAGGAGCTAGTGGTAATTTCTCACCAGGGCCTCAGTTTTGCATCAGGGCTGAGGCCAGAACAGTTGAGAGGTGGATTGTGGGAAATGTACAGTATGACAGAAAACAGTCACTCAACCTTTCATAACAAACAAACAGAAAAACTATACAGACATACAGAAACAGCAATACTGGTAAATAAACAGTTGGTGAGTTGACAGTTGAAGACAGTTGAAGACAACCGATGACAGTTGAAGACAGTTGAAGACAACCGATGACAGTTGAGAAGTAGTCGTTGGAACTGGCAGGAAGCCTTCAAGTAACAGGATATCCCAGTGCAGTCCTATTCTGTGTTTTGATTGGTTGGCAGCTCTACATGACAGAGCAGGAAGTCTTCCCTGGTTGGACGCCGCCTTCCAGCTTCTCCGCCTCGAGGATCATCCTCTTGAACACCTCCACTGCCGTCTGAGACGGGGAATATAACAGAGTAAGAATAGAATAGCCCAATAGAACAGTATAAAACTGAACAGAATACTTTAATATCTATTATAAACTGGGTGGTTCGAACCCTGAATTCGGATTGGCTGAAAACCATGGTATACCAGACCGTATACCACGAGTATGACAAAACATTTAGTTTTACTGCTCTAATTACGTTGGTAACCAGTTTATAATAGCAATAAGGCTCCTCAGGGGTTTGTGATATATAGCCAATATACCACGGCTAAGGGGCTGTGTCCAGGCACTCCGCGTCGACATCATGCTTAAGAACAGCTCTTAGCCGTGGTATATTGGCCATATACCACACCCCCTCGGGCCTTATTGCTAAAGTATAACACCAACATACGTAAGCAATAAGGGCCGACTATCTAGCTTGTGTGTGTGTGTGTGTGTGGGTGTGTGTCAAATCAAATTTTATTTTACTTACAGTGAAATCCTTACTTAACCAACAACGCAGAGTTAAAAAGTAAGAAAATAGTAACAGAACAAAATAACAATAATGAGGCTCTATACAAGGAGTACCGGTACCGAGTCAATGTGAGGGGCTACTGGTTAGTCCAGGTCATTGAGGTAATATGTACATGTAGGTAGGGGTAAAAGTGACTAGGCAATCAGGATAGATAATAAACAGAGTAGCAGAAGCATGTGTGGAGAGCGTGAAAGTGTGTGTGTGTGTGTGTGTGTGGTCAATATGCATGTGTGTATGTTTTGTGTGTGTGAGCGTATGTAGTGTGTGTGTGTGTGTGTGTGTGTATTGGAGTGTCAGTGTAGTAAGTCGCTCTGGATAAGAGCGTCTGCTAAATGACTAAAATGTAAATGTAAATGTAGTATGTGTGTGTGTGTGTGTGGGTAGAGTCCAGTGAGTGTGCATAGAGTCCCTATTAGAGAGTGCAAAGTGCAAAGAAGGGTCCATGCAGGTAGTCTGAGTATTTGATTAATTGTTCAGCCGTCTTATGGCTTGGGGGGTAGAAGCTGTTCAGGAGCCTTTTGGACCTAGACTTGGCGTTCCGGTACCGCTTGCCATTCGGTAGCAGAGAGAACAGTCTATGACTAGGGTGGCTGGGGTCTTTCACAATTTTCCCGGGCCTTCCTCTGACACCGCCTGGTATGGAGGTCCTGGATGGCAGGGAGCTCGGTCCCCAGTGATGTACTGGGGCTGTCCACACCTCCCCCCTGCAGCGCCATGCGATCGAGGGTGGTGCAGTTGCCATCCAAAGCGGTGATGCAGCCAGTCAGGATGCTCTCAATGGTGCAGCTGTAGAACTCTGTGAGGATCTGAGAGCCCCATGCCAAATCTTTTCAACCTCCTGAGGGTGAAGAGGCGCCGTCGAGTCTTCTTCACCACTGTGCTGGTGTGAGAGGACCATGTGATGTGGACACCGAGTTATTCAAAGCTCTCGACCCACTCCACCAACAGCCCTGTCGATGTGAGTGTGGGCGTGCTCAGCCCTCCGTTTCCTGTAGTCCACGATCAGCTCCTTTGACTTGTGTGTGTGTGTGTGTGTGTGGTGTGTGTGTGTGTGTGTGTGTGTGCGTGCGCGTGCGTGCGTGTGCGTGTTTGGTGTGTGAGCGTGCGTGCGTGCGTGTGTGTGTGTGAGGTGATGAACCTGTGAGGTAGTTGAAGAGAACCTTTATAGTTCTGAGTAGCTGATTGGCTGATGGTGGGACATGCCTCGTATCTGCTCTGAGCAATGCTAACACTTAGCGATAATGGCAGATTTGAATCGAATATATTCAACATGTTTGAAAATGATCAGAATGCCGTAAGTAGAGTGCCGGGATCATCAATTGCAAATGTGGTACGTGCTTACACTTCACGTCTTACTCTGGGTTTGATCCGATTTACTACGATTTGGTCAAATGCGTCGGGAGCTGATCGGGGGCCTGTGGATCGGGCAGTGTCTACAAGCTGATCGGGGGCCTGTGGATCGGATAGTGTCTACAAGCTGATTGGGGGCCTGTGGATCGGATAGTGTCTACAAGCTGATAGGGGCCTGTGGATCGGATAGTGTCTACAAGCTGATCGGGGGCCTGTGGATCGGGCAGTGTCTACAAGCTGATCGGGGGCCTGTGGATCGGGTAGTGTCTACAAGCTGATTGGGGGGCCTGTGGACCGGATAGTGTCTACAAGCTGATCGGGGGCCTGTGGTTCGGGTAGTGTCTAAAAGCTGATCGGGGGCCTGTGGTTCGGGCAGTGTCTACAAGCTGATCGGGGGCCTGTGGTTCGGATAGTGTCTACAAGCTGATCGGGGGCCTGTGGTTCGGATAGTGTCTACAAGCTGATCGGGGGCCTGTGGATCGGGCAGTGTCTACAAGCTGATCGGGGGCCTGTGGATCGGGTAGTGTCTACAAGCTGATCCCAAAGGCCCCCTTTTGGGGGTCGGATAGGTCTACAAACGGGTCGGGGGGCCCGTGGAAACGGGAAAAGGGGCCATCTTTCCTTTTTTGTTTTCACCTGGTTCCTTTTAAACTGAGGGATTCCAGGGAAAGGGAGCGTTCCAGGAGTTGCTAGGGCCCCTTCCCAAAAGCCCGGGTCACCCTGGGACACAAAAAAAAAAACACACCCAATATGGGCAAACCCCAGGGGGTTTTGTGTGTGTGTGTGTGGGTGGTGTGGGGTGTGTGGGGGTGGTTTGTGTGGTTTTGAAATACCCTTCCAAGGGCAGGTCATCCCTTTTTTCCCATAATATAATTTGGTAAGGGAAAAGAAACACGTTGGGATTAAAAGGGGAAAACCCATATTCCCAAAAAAAATTTCATAAAAAACACAGTAGGGGGTTTCAGTTGAGGGGGTTTAAATAAGTCAGGTACAGTAGAGGGGGAAAAAGTCAGGTTTTCAGTAAGGGGGGGTTAAATACGAAAGGTTTTCAGTAGAAAGGGTTAATATTTCGTCAGGTTTCAGTAGAGGGAATATACGTCAGGTTTCCAGTAGAGGGTTTTTAAAATACGTAGGTTACAAATAAAAAGGGGTTTAAAATGTCATGACAGTAGAGGGGGGTTTAATTTTTAAGTTTAGGTTACAGTAGAGGGTTTTAAATACGGGCCGGTTTCAAGTAGAGGGTTAAAATACGTTAAAGGGTTTCAGTAGAGGGTTTTTTAAAATACTTAAAGGTTTAAATAAGGGTTTTAAAATTTGTCAGGTTACAGTAGAGGGTTAATATACGGGCAGGGGTTTCAAAATAGAGGGTTAATATAAGTCGGTTACAGTAGAGGGGGAATATAGTCAGGTTACAGTAGAGGGTTAATTTTAAAAGTCAGGTTACATTAGAGGGTTAAATACGTCCCGGGGGCAGTTTGAGGGTTAAAATACGTCAGGTTTCCCGTAGAGGGAATATAAGGGTTTTAGGTTAAGTAGAGGGTTTAAAATAGGGAAAGGGTTAAAAAGTAGAGGGTTAATATAGTCAGGTTACGTAGAGGGTAATTTTTAAGTAGGTTTAAAATAGAGGAGGGTTAATTAAAAAGTCAGGTTTCGTAGAGGGTTTTTAAAAACGTCAGGTTTCAGGAGAGGGTTAATTTTACGTCAGGGGTTTCAGTAGAGGGTTTTAAAATTAAAAATTTAGGGGGACAGGAGAGGGTTAATATAGTTAAAGGGTTTGGTTTTGAGGGTTTTAAAATACGGGCAGGTTTCAGTAGAAAGGGGTTTAAAAACCGTTTAGGTTTTGTTTGAGGAGGGTTTAAAAAATAGGTAGGTTACAGTAGGGGGGTTTAAAAATTTCCCCTCAGGTTACAGTAAGAGGGTTAAATTTCGTTTAGGTTTTCCGTAGAGAGGGGGTTTAATTTACGGGAGGTTTCAAATGAGGGGGTTTAATATACTAAAGGGGGCAGTGGGGGGTTAATTTTACGTCAGGGTACAGAGAGGGTTTTAAAATAGTCAGGTTATAGTAGAGGGTTTTAAAAATACGTCAGGTTAAAATATAGAGGGTTTTAAATAAAAAGTCCGGTTTTAAAGGGAGAGGGGTTAATTTTACGTCAGGTTAAGTAGAGGAGGGTTTTTAAAAACGTCAGGTTAAAAGTAGAGGGTTTAAAATAGTTTTAGGTTTCAGTTAAGGAGGGTTTTAAAAAGGCCCGGTTACAGAGAAAGGGGGGGTTAATTTTGTAGGTTTCAGTTTGAGGGTTAATATCGGAGGTTACGTGAGGGGTTAAGGGGAATATAAGTCAGGTTAAAAGTTTGGAAAGGGTTTTAAAATACGCCAAAGGGGTTTTCAGTAGAGGGGTTAATAACGTGGGGTTTCAGTGAGGGTTAAAAATATACGGGGTTACAGTTTGAGGGTTTAAAATCGTTTTAGGTTACAGTAGAGGGGTTTTATACGAGGTTCAGTAGGAGGGTTAAATAACGTCAGGTTTACAAATAGAGGAGGGGTTTAAAATAAGGGAGGGTTTCAGTAGGGAGGGGTTTTAAAATACGTCAAGGGTTACAGTAGAGGGGGGGGTTAAATACGTCAGGGTTTCAGTAGAGGGTTTAAAATAAGGGCAGGTTTTTGTGAGGGTTTAATATACGGGCAGGGGTTTCAGTAGAGGGTTTTAAAATACGGGAGGTTTAAAATAGAGGGGGGTTAATATTTCGGGCAGGGTTCAGTAAAAGGAGGGTTTTAATATACGTCAGGTTACAGTAGAGGGTTAATATAGTCAGGGTACGAGAGGAGGGGTTTTATAAAGTCCCGGTTACAGTTTGAGGGTTAATATTTGGGAGGGTTTTCAAATAGAGGGTTTTTAAATACGTCAGGTTTACAGTGAGGAGGGGTTTTTTAAAACGGAGGGGTTTCAGGTAGAGGGTTTTAAAATAAAGTCAGGTTTCAGTAGAGGAGGGTTAATATAAGTCAGGTTAAAAGTTTGAGAAGGGTTTTAAAATAAGTCCGGTTTTTCAGTAGAGGGGGTTAATAACCCTTTTTGGTTTCAAATAGAGGGTTAAATTAAAAAAAGTCAGGTTCCCGATTAGGGGGGTTAAATAAGTCAGGTTTTCAGTAGAGGGTTAATTTTTACGTTAGGTTACAGTAGAGGAGGGGTTAATATAGTCAGGTTTTCAGGAGAGGGTTTAATAAAGGGAGGTTACAAATAGAGGAGGGTTAATATACGTCCCGGGTTTAAATAGAGGGGTTTAAAATACGTCAGGGTACAGAGAAAGGGGTTTTTAAAAAAAACGTCAGGTTACCGTAGAGGGTTAATATTTCGTAAGGTTTCCCCGGAGAGGGTTAATATACGTCAGGTTAAGAAGTAGAGGGTTAATATACGTAGGTTTTTTCAGTAGAGGGTTAATATTAAGGGCAGGGGGTTTCCAGGAAAAAGGGTTATATACGTTTAGGTTTAAAAAAGGGGTTAATATAGTAGGTTACAGTAGAGGGTTAAAATACGTCAGGTTGTTAAGGGGGGTTAAAAATACGTTTTAGGTACCCCCAGAGGGTTAATAACGGTTTAGGTTACAGTTTGAGGAGGGTTAAATACGTTTTGGTTTCAGTAAAATTTGGGGTTAATAACGTTTAGGGGGAAATAGGGGGGTTAATATAAGTCAGGGGTTTAAGTAGAGGGTTTAAAATACGTCAGGTTCCAGTAGAGGGTTTTAAATAGTCCAAAGGGGACAGGAGAGGGTTAAAAAAAAAAAGTTTAGGTTACAGTAGAGGGTTAAAATAGTAAGGGGGTTATTTGTAGAGGGGTTTTAAAAATAGTCAGGTTTTCAGTAGAGGAGGGTTAATATAAGTCAGGTTACAAGGTTTTGGGGGGTTAATTAAAGTCAGGGGTTTCAGTAGAGGGTTAATATTTGTTTAGGGTTTCAGTAGAGGGTTAAATTAAAACCCTCAGGTTACAGTAGAGGAGGGGTTTAATTTTTAACGCAGGTTTCGTAAGGGGGGTTTTTAAATAAGTCAGGTTACAGTGAGGGGGTTTAAAATACGTCAGGTTTCAGTAGGGGGAGGAGGGAATATACGTTGGGGGACAAAATAGAGGGTTTTAAAATACGTCAGGTTACAGTAGAGGGTTAAATAAGTAGGTTTCAGGAAAAGGGTTAAAATTCCCTTTGGTTACAGAGAGGGTTTTTAAAATACGTCAGGTTACGTAGAGGGTTTTTAAAATACGTTTTAGGTTGCAGTAGGGAGGGTTAATATTTTGTCAGGTTACGTGAGGGGGGGTTAAATACGAAGGGTTTCAAATAAGGGTTTTAAAATACTCAGGTTACCCGTAAGGGGGGTTTTAAATACGTCAGGTTACAGAGAGGGGTTTAAAATAGTTTAGGTTTAAAACAAGGGGGTTAATATACGTTGGTTACAGTTAGAGGGTTAAAATACGTAGGGTTCAGTTTGAGGGGGTTTTAAAATAAGTCAGGGGGGTTTCAGAGAGGGTTTAAAATACGCAGGTTACGGTTTTTGAAAAGGGGGGAATAACGTCAGGTTAAAAGTAGAAAGGGGTTTAAAATTTCGTCAGGTTACAGGGGGAAAAAGGTTTTTTTAATTAGTTTAGGTGACAGTTGAGGGTTAATATTCCCTTAGGTTACAGTAGAGGGGTTTAAAATACGTCAGGTTTCCGTTTGAGGGTTAAAAATACTCAGGGTTACCGTAAAAGGGTTAATAGTCAGGGTTTCAGGGAGAGGGTTAATATACGCAGGTTAACCAAATAGAGGGTTAATATACGTCAGGGCGTTAAAGTTAGAGGGTTTTAAATACGTCAGGTTTCAGTAGAGGAGGGTTTTTTAAAAGGGTTTAATAAGTCAGGTTTCCAAATAGAGGGTTTAAATACGTCAGGTTACAGTTTTGAGGGTTAATATAAGTAGGTACAGTAGAGGGTTAATTACGGCAGGTTACAGTAGAAAGGGGTTTAAAATACGTCAGGTTACAGAGAGGGTTAATTAAACGTCAGGTTTTTCAGTAGAGGGTTAAATTTCGTCAGGTTACAGTAGGGGGGTTAAAATTTTAAAGTCAGGTTCGTAGAGGGGTTTAAAATAGCGGTTACAGTAGAGGGTTAATATAGGGCTTTGGGTTAAAATAGAGGGGTTTAAAAACGTTTTGGTTACAGGAGAGGGTTAATATAAATCAGGAAGTAGAGGGGGGAATATACGTCAGGTTACAGGGAGGGGTTTAAAGGGTGTCAGGTTACGGGGGATTAATAACGCACGAGAGGGTTAAATTAAATCAGGTTTCAGTTTTGAGGGGGTTATAAGTCAGGTTTTCGTTTGAGGGTTGTTTTATACGTCAGGTTTTTCAGTGGGGGTTTAAAATACGTTTAGGTTTAAGGGAGAGGGTTAAATAGTCAGGGGGGAGTAGGGGTTTTTAAAATAGTCAGTTACAGTTTGAGGAGGGTTTAAAACGTCCGGTTCAGTAGAGGAGGGTTAATATAAGTAAGGGGTTTAAATTTGAGGGGGTTAAATACGTCCCGGTTTTCCGTTTGAGGAGGGGTTAAAAAATACGTTTGGGTTACGTAGGAGGGTTAATAACGTTTTGGTTAAGTAGAGGGTTTAATATACGTAGGTTCAGTAGGGGGGTTTTAATATACGTCAGGTTTTCAGTAGAGGGTTTAAAAACGTCGGTTACAGGAAAAGGGTTAAATACGTCAGGTTACAGTAAAAAGGGTTAAAATACGTAAGGTTAAAAGGGAGAGGGTTAATATTCGTCAGGTTTTCAGGAGAGGGTTTTTACGTCAGGACAGTAGAGGGGTTTAAAAACGTCAGGGTTTCAGTAGAGGGTTTAAAATTTGTCCCGGTTACAAATTAGGGCGTTTTCATAGAGGGTTTTTAAAATACGTCGGGGGGCAGTTGGGGTTAAAAGTCAGGTTACAGTAGAGGAGGGTTTAAAAATAAGTAGGTACCCGTAAAAGGGTTTTAAAATGTAAGGTTTCAAATAGAGGGTTTTAAAACGTCAGGGGTTTTTAGGGAGGGGTTTTAAATAAAGTCAGGTTACAGTAGAGGGGTTAATATACGTCAGGTTTCAGTAGGGGTTTAAAAATAGGGGAGGTTAACAGGTTTAAAGGGGTTTAAAATTGGGGGTTTTTTCGGGTTTAAAGTAGAGGGTTAAAATACGTCAGGTTTTTCAGTATTTGAGGGTTAAAATACGTCAGGTGACAAGGGGGGTTAATTAAACGGTTTTTGGGGAAAAGTAGGGGGGTTAAAATACGTCAGGTTAAGTAGAGGGGTTTAAAAAGTTTAGGGGGACAGTAGAGGGGGTAATATCGTAAAGGGTTTCAGTAGAGGGTTAATAACGTCCCGGTTTCAGTAGAGGGTTTTAAAATTTCGTCAGGTTAAAAGTAGAGGGTTAAAATTTCGGGGCAGGGGTTTCGTAGAGGGGGTTTTTAAAATACGTCAGGTTACATTGAGGGTTAATAACGTCAGGTTTCAGAGAGGGTTTAAAATCCCTTTAGGTTCAGTAGGGGTTAAATACGTCAGGGGGTTTCAGTAGGGGTTTTAAAAAGGTTAAAAATTTCAAAAGAGGGGTTTAAAATACGTCAGGTTACAGTTTGAGGGTTAATTAAAATACGTCCCGGTTACAGTAAAAGGGTTAAATCGTCAGGGTTTTTAGGAGATACTCACTGAGATTTTCCCCCCCCAATCCAACAGTTTTTATGGGGGGGAACCAAAACAACTTCCAAAATTGGAAGAGAAAGGAAAAAAGGGGAAAAAAAGCAGGTTAAACCCCTTTCCCCAAAAAAAAAAATACCGGTTTTTAAAATACGGTCATACATTTTGGGATACATTTCTTTTCATACTAACCTGTTCCCTTTCCACTGTCCTACATACTGTCAAATTTTGGATAATTTCTTTATACACACGTCATGCATACCGTATAATCGGTATCATAGGTCATACATAAAGGTCATTTCATACCCGGCATACATTTCGTCATACATACTGTCAAAAATTTTGTCAACACACTGTTTATAAAATACGTCCCTTTCACACTGTCATTAAAAATACGGTCATACCCTTTCCGTCATAAATAAGGTCATACATAATGAATTTCAACTGTCCCCTACACACTGTATACTACGGTTTCCCCCAACCTACCTCATACATACGGCATACATTTCCCTTTTAAAATACGGTCATACCCCACTGTCATTCCCAAAGTAAACATTCGGTCATAAAACCGTATACATACGGGGATACCCCTTTTTGTTTAAAATACCGGGAAAACAACCGTCAAAAACATACGGTTTATTTCATTTCGGGCAAACATAGGTTTATACTATTTCTGCCAACCCTCCTCCTGGAGAGCAACTGGTGGATGTGCAGGCTTTTGATCCGGCCCTACTCTAATACACCTGATTCAGCTGCTCATCCGGACCTTGATTAGCTGAATCAGCTTGGAGTAAAAGCCTGCACACCCAGTGGTTGAGCACCCTTGCTGCAGACAATACTGCACAATCTAAATCTGTAAAAGATATAGAGTAAATAGCTGACTAACCTTTTTTTAGACCTGACAGAGTAGACCAGGATGTAACCATTGATATCTATGGAATAGGTCTGAGGAAAGATAGAGTATTCATCCTGGAACAGACAGAGAGAGAGTGGGGGGGGGGGGGGGGGGGGATAGAGAGTGAAAAAAAGGTAGAGAGAGAGAGAGGCGGGAGAGAGAGAAGAGGCGGGAGAGAGAGGAGGGAGAGAGAGAAGGAGGGAGAGAGAGAGGCGGAAGAGAGAGAAACAAGGAGAGAGAGAGAGGAGGGAGAGAGAGAGGAGAGAGGGAGAGAGAGGCGGAGGAGAGAGAGGCGGAAGAGAGAGAGGCGGGAGAGGGGAGAGAGAGAGGAGGGAGAGAGAGAGGAGGGAGAGAGAGAGAGGCGGAAGAGAGAGAGGCGGGAGAGAGAGAGGAGGGAGAGAGAGAGGAGGCCGGAGAGAGAGAGAGGCGGGAGAGAGAGAGAGAGGCGGAGAGAGAGAGAGGAGGGAGAGAGAGAGAGGCGGAAGAGAGAGAGGCGGGAGAGAGAGAGGAGGGAGAGAGAGAGGAGGGAGAGAGAGAGGAGGGAGAGAGAGAGAGAGAGAGAGGCGGAAGAGAGAGAGGCGGGAGAGAGAGAGGTGTGAGAGAGACAGGAGGGAGAGAGGTGGGAGAGAGCCTGGGTGAAATAAGTGCTTAGCCTGCATACCCTGATGAAGACAGCTTGTCTGTGGAAACGTTGGTTATTGGGTTATTAAATGATTGCATCTGAGCTGCTAGAGTGAGACTCTCCTTTTCTTTTTAAAGTAGCCTGCATACTGTAACATAGTGGGCTCAGTTCCAATGAATGTCCATACTAGTATCCCACTTAGCCTTACAGTAAAGCAATGTACTGAGCAAGCATGCTAAGTAGAGGTATGGAGCATTCTAGTGTGGATATGGAACGTAGCCTGTGTTCTAAAATTCTAATATCATAACTACATCATGAGTAGGGGCCAGGAGTTTTTTCTGACAGGAAACACTCCGGTCCCCTAACCATGAGTTAAAGGACATATTATACTCAAGGTCTGTAAGATGTTTTCAGTGTTGATAAATAAATCCCTGTGGTGTCCACTTCTACCTGTCCCGCTGTATCTACCAACTGCAGGTGGTATTCCTGTCCGTTTATCGTGATCATCTTGGTAAATGCTGCAGCAAAAAAGACAAGATAGGAGGTAAATGGATTACTATTAGCATAAAGATTGCCTTGGAAACCAGGGCATTAATCAGAGAAGCAACAAAGAGACCAAAGATAACCCTGAAGGAGCTGCAAAGCTCCACAGTGGAGATTGGAGTATAAGGAAAGCACTGGAAACAATAGAACACTATGAAATATCTGGGAAACCAGGCCTGCTATTCATACAGTGCCTTGTAAAAGTATTCATCCCCCTTGGCGTTTTCCCTATTTTGTTGCATTACAACCTGTAATTTAAATGGATTTTTATTTTGGATTTCATGTAATGGACATACACAAAATTGTCCAAATTGGTGAAATAAAAAAATAAAAAATAAAAAATTGTTTCAAAGATTTCTAACAAATAAATAACGGAAAAGTGGTGCGTGCATATGTATTCACCCCCTTTGCTATGAAGCCCCTAAATAAGATCTGGTGCAACCAATTACCTTCAGAGAAGTCACATAATTAGTTAAATAAAGTCCACCTGTGTGTCACATGATCTGTCACATGATCTCAGTATATATACACCTGTTCTGAAAGGCCCCAGTCTGCAACACCACTAAGCAAGGGGCACCACCAAGCAAGCGACACCATGAAGACCAAGGAGCTCTCCAAACAGGTCAGGGACAAAGTTGTGGAGAAGTACAGATCAGGGTTGGGTTATAGAAAAATATACGAAACTTTGAACATCCCATGGAGCACCATTAAATCCATTATTAGAAAATGGAAAGAATATGGCACCACAACAAACCTGCCAAGAGAGGGCCGCCCACCAAAACTCACGGACCAGGCAAGGAGGACATTAATCAGAGAGGCAACAAAGAGACCAAAGATAACCCTGAAGGAGCTGCAAAGCTCCACAGCGGAGATTGGAGTATCTGTCCATAGGACCACTTTAAGCCGTACACTCCACAGAGCTGGGCTTTATGGAAGAGTGGCCAGAAAAAAGCCATTGCTTAAAGAAGAAAATAAGCAAACACGTTTGGTGTTCGCCAAAAGGCAAGTGGGAGACTCCCCAAACATATGGAAGAAGGTACTCTGGTCAGATGAGACTAAAATGTAGCTTTTTGGCCATCAAGGAAAACACTATGTCTGGCGCAAACCCAACACCTCTCATCACCCCGAGAACACCATCCGCACAGTGAAGCATGGTGGCGGCAGCATCATGCTGTGGGGATGTTTGTTTTTTTAATCGGCAGGGACTGGGAAACTGGTCAGAATTGAAGGAATGATGGATGGCGCTAAATACAGGGACATTCTTGAGGGAAACCTGTTTCAGTCTTCCAGAGATTGAGACTGGGACGGAGGTTCACCTTCCAGCAAGACAATGACCCTAAGCATACTGCTAAAGTAACACTCGAGTGGTTTAAGAGGTACATAAAGATGGTCTATATAGATTATACCTCCTGAGACTGTCAATAAATTAGGTGATATCTGCCACTGCATAGAAAAGAGCAGACACTCTGAGACCAAGCTACTGCTACTATTACTACTACTACTACTACTACACTACTACTACTACTATACTTACTAAGGTACTGACTACTAAGACTACTGCTACTATACTCTATACTATTTACTACTACTACTACTACTACTACTACTACTATACTATTTACTACTACTACTACTACTACTACTGCTACTCTACTACTACTACTGCTGCTGCTGCTGCTGCACTACTACTACTACTACTATTACTACTACTACTACTACTACTTACTACTGCTACTACTACTGACTATACTACTACTACTACTAATACTACTACTACTACTACTACTACTGCTAACTGCTACTACTGCTACTATTAGCTACTTACTACTACTACTACTACTATAATATTGCTACTACTACTACTACTACTATAATATTGCTACTACTATTACTACTACTACTACTACTACTACTACTGCTAAACTGCTACTATGCTACATTACTGCTAATACCTCTACTACTACTGCTATATACTACTACTGCTACTACTACACTACTGCCTACTACTATTGCTACTACTACTACTACTATATATTTGCTACTACTACTACATACTACTATACTACTACTACTACTACTGCTATACTGCTACTCTACTACTACATGCTATATAACTATTACTACTATGTACTACTACCTACTACTACTATTACTGCTACTACTAACTATACTTCTACTATACTACTGCTACTACTGCTACTACTACTACTACTACTATAATATTCCCCTACTACTATTACTACTGCTACTACTAACTACTCTACTGCTATATATACTACTACTACTGCTACTACTACTACTATACTACTACTACTCTATAATATGCTACTACTACTACTTACTGCTACTACTACTCTACTACTACTACTGCTACTGCTACTACTAACTACTATACTGCTATACTGCTACTACTATACTTTACTCTACTACTACTCTACTAACTATCTACTGCACTACTACTATATGTACTACTGCTATAATGACTACTACTACTACTCTACTACTACTACTGCTAAACTACTACTACTACTAATATTACTACTATACTACTACTACTACTACTACTACTCTACTACTACTATATACTACTACTACTACTATACTACTACTGTACTACTACTATATACTACTACTACTACTACTATACTACTACTACTACTACTAGAGATACTACTACTATACTACTACTACTACGACTATACACGTACTACTATACTACTACTGATACTACTACGTACTACTACTTACTACGACTACTACGACTACTACTACTACTAACTACTACTACTACTACTACTACTACTACTACTACACTACTACAGGTAGCTTAGTGGTTAAGCGCGTAGTGCCAGTAACAGAAAGGTCGCTGGTTCTAATCCCTGAGCCGACTAGGTGAAAAATCTGCTACTACTGCTACTATTACTGCTACTACTACTGCTACTACTGCTACTACTATTACTGCTACTGATGCTACCACTACTGATACTGCTACTACAGAATATTCATCTTTTCGGATTTAACCACTGAAACACATATTTTACTATGGCTGTGTTAAGATGTACAGTGTATTCAGACCTCTTCCCCTTTTACACATTTTGTAACGTTACAGCCTTGTTCTAAAATTGATTAAATTAATGTTTGTCCTCATCAATCTACACACAATTCCCCATAATGACAAAGCGAAAACAGGTTTAAAGAAATGTTTGCACATTTATTACCAATAAAAAACAGAAATACCTTATTTCCATAAGTATTCAGACCCTTTGCTATGAGACTCGAAATTGAGCACAGGTGCATCCTGTTTCCATTGATCATCCTGAAGATGTGGTAAATTCAATTGATTGGCCATGATTTGGAAAGGATCACACCTGTCTATATAAGGTCTACACAGTTATGACAGTGCATGTCAGAGAAAAAACCAAGCCATGAGGTCAAAGGAATTGTCAGCAGAGCTCCGAGATAGGATTGTATAGAGGCACAGATCTGGGGAAGGGTACCAAAAATTGCTGCAGCATTGAAGGTCTCCAACAACACAGTGGCCTCCATCATTCTTAAATGGAAGAAGTTTGGAACCACCAAGACTCTTCCTAGAGCTGGCTGCCTGGCCAAACTGAGCAATCGGGGGAGAAGGGCCCTGGTCAGGGAGGTGACCAAGAACCCGATGGTCACTCTGACAGAGCTCCAGAGTTCCTCTGTGGAGATGGGAGAACCTTCCAGAAGGACAACCATCTCTGCAGCACTCCACCAATCAGGCCTTTATGGTAGAGTGGCCAGACGGAAGCCACTCCTCAGTAAAAGGCACATGACAGTCCGCTTGGAGTTTGCCAAAAGGCACGTAAAGGACTCTCAGACCATGAGAAACCAGATTCTCTGGTTTAATTAAACGAAGTTGGAACTCTTTGGCCTGAATGGCAAGCGTCACGTCTGGAGGAAACTGGGCACCATCCCTACGGGAAGCATGGTGGTGGCAGCATCATGCTGTGGGGATGTTTTTCAGCGGCAGGGACTGGGAGACTAGTCAGGATCGAGGGAAAGATGAACGGAGCAAAGTATAGAGAGATCCTTGATGAAAACCTGCTCCAGGACCTCAGACTGGGGCAAAGGTTCACCTTCCAACAGGACAACGACCCTAAGCACACAGCCAAGACAACGCAGGAGTGGTTTTGGGTCAAGTCTCTGAATGTCCTTGAGTGGCCCAGCCAGAGCCCAGACTTGAACCCGATCGAACATCTCTGGAGAGACCTGAAAATTGCTGTGCAGCGACGCCCCCCCATCCAACCTGACAGAGCTTGAGAGGATCTGCAGAGAAGAATGGGAGAAACTCCCCAAATACAGGTGTGCCAAGCTTGTAGCAACATACCCAAGAAGACTTGAGGCTGTAATTGCTGCCAAAGGTGCTTCAACAAAGTACTGAGTAAAGGGTCTGAATACTTATGTAAATCTGAGATTTCCATTCTTTGATTTTTAATAAAAATTTATAAAAACCTGTTTTTGCTTTGTCATTATGGGGTATTGTGTGTAGATTGATGAGGGGGGAAAACAATTTAATCCAACCCCTTTTATGGCAAGACTAAATAAGTTCAGGAGTAAAAATGTGCTTAACAAGTCACATAATTTTTGAATGTCTACCTCATCTCTGTAGCCCACACATACAATGACCTGTAAGGTCCCTCAGTCGAGCAGTGAATTTAAAACACAGATTCAACCACAAAGACCAGGGAGGTTTTCCAATGCCTTGCAAAGAAAGGCACCTATTGGTAAATGGGTACAAATAAAAAAGCAGACATTGAATAATCCTTTGAGTCACTGCAAAGATACAGACATCCTTCCTAACTCAGTTGCTGGAGAGGAAGGAAACCGCTCAGGGATTTCACCATGACGCTAATGGTGAGTTTAAAAAAGTTACAGAGTTTAATGGCTGTGATAGAAGAAAACTGAGGATGGATCAACAACATTGTAGTTAT